CTAAACCCTGAACTCCTAGACCCTAACCCTGAACTCCTAGACCCTAAACCCTGAACTCCTAGACCCTAAGCTGCTAAACCCTATGAGGATCATGTTCACGGGGTCAAAATCGATCTCCCCCCGTGGCGAACCCTTATGAGCCCCGTACCCAGAAACTCCAATACCCCTTAATTAAGGAATATACCTTAAATCATATTAAGGAATATTGGAGTCTCTGGGTATAGGGTTTAGGGTTTTAAACCATCTCAAACCAAAAATGCGAAACCCCAAACTAGAACTGGCCTTGTCTTAAGAAAGCTTCTATACTATAAGCTATATCTCGTGGTTCTGGGTAGAGTGAATTGCACAGCCCTATGGGAATATCAGTTCCCAAGCCCAGACGCCATTTCTGATTTCGGGTTTAGAATTTTGGGTATCGGTACATCCTACAAGCAACTCGAACCCAAAACCCGATACTCACACTGACTGTCAATCAAGCCATACACTGCCGCAACACCCTCCATCTATAGTTTAAACGTCTGACGAATTATTCGCAGCAGACCTTTTATAAACATACATACATGCTTTCATACATACAGACAGGCGGGCAGGTAGACAGACGAGCAGCCAAGCAGACAGACCGACAGCCAGGCAGACAGAGCGACAGACAGACATTGCACGGAAAATATGGGAGTTTCCGAAAACAAGGGGTACCTTATTTTGGGATCCTTATACTAAGGGCCCTACTATTAGGGTACTATATTAGGGTCTCCTATTTTCGGAAACCCCAATATTATTCCACAAGCGTTGTAGTGTTAGTTCCTTAGATGACCCTAAGCCCTAAACCCTAAACCCTAAACCGGGACTTGGATGTATCATGCCTTCACTTCCGACAATATCCCTTAAAGGCCTACAGACACATATTCTTGGTTGAACTTTACAGTCACTTTATAGCTTTATCACTTTTAGGTTTAGCCTTCTTGATATCAGGGGTACTAAAAGTTATAATTTGAGCAAGGTAATAAAGAGCCTTAAAGTATTGAGGCCCCTTTATCAAACTCTTCGACTTTCTGGAAGAGCTCATTTAAGCTCCTAAAGTCGCACCCTACCCTAGGCCCTCAACCCGAAAGGCTCTAACTTCGAAACGCCCTAAACCCCTAAACGCCCTAAACCCCTAAAGCCTTAAACCCCAAACACTAGGCCCTAAACCTAAGCCCTACAGCCCTATTAAACCCTAATCAAACCCTAGAGCAATAAAGCCTAAAAGCCCTAAACCTCCAGACTCCAAACCCTAAACCCTGAACCCTAAACCCTATACATCCCTTATAGATCTTGCAACAAACCCTAAACCCTGAACCCTACACATCCCTTACAGATCTTGCAACAAACCCTAAGCCCTAAACCCGAAGCCCTGAGCCCTAAACCCAAAGCCCTAAACCCTAAGCCCTAAGCCCTAAACCCTAAACCCTAAAACAAAAATCTAAACCCTAAGCCCCAAACCCTACCTTAACCTACCAAAACCTACTTTTTTGTAGGTTCTGATTATAAACCCTAATATGGAATTTATAGGGAACCCTACAAAAAAGTGGGTTTTGGTAGGTTAAGGTAAACCCCAAAAAAAGGCCCAAACCGTTGAGCTCAGGCATGGCTTCCGAAGGAGCGAAAACATCGAGAACGCGCTGAACTCTGAGCTCGCGTTCTACGGCAAGGCGGCGTTTAGGGTTTAGGGTTTAGGGGGTTTAGGGGGTTTAAGGGGTTCAGGGTTCAGGGTTTAGGGTTTGGATAAGGTTTTGGGGTAAAAGGCGGTTTAGGGTTCAGGGTTTAGGGTTTAGGGTTTAGGGCGTTCTACGGCAAGGCGGCCTGGGATATGAGATGTTGGGGTTAAGGGGGTTTTTGGGTTTAGGGTTTGGGTTTAGGGTTTAGGGATATCAGATTCTAGGGTGGTTTAGGGGGTTTAGGGTTCAGGGTTTAGGGTTTGGATAAGATTCTGGGGTAAAAGTGGGTTCAGGGTTCAGGGTTTAGGGCGCGTTCTAGGGCAAGGCAGTTTGGGATATAAGATTCTAGGGTCGTTTAGGGGGTTTAGGGTCTAGGGTTTTAGGCCTAGGATATCAGATGTTGGGGCTAAGGGTCTTGTAGAATTTACCCATAGGCCCTAAAGTAGTTCCTTCTGGGGGTTCATAGATAGAATCCTATAAGGTAACCCCAAAAAGGAACTACTATGGGGCCTATGGGTAAGATTCTAGGGGGGTTCCGGGGGCTGAGGGTTTAGGGTTTGTTGCAAGATCTATAAGGGATGTCTAGGGTTTAGGGTTCCGTGTTGACGGTTCAGGGCTTAGGGTTCGTTGCAAGATCTATAAGGGATGTATAGGGTTTAGGGTTCCGGGTTTGGGGCTTAGGGTTAAGAGCTTGTTGCAAGATCCGTAAGGGATGTATAGGGTTTAGGGTTTAGACCCCTTGGAGGATCATGGGACTTTAGCAATTAGTCAGGTTATAAGGAATTTAACTGGGAACATTTAGGTAAGTTTAAGTAAGTATGGGTTCCCTGAACAAAGACCCTAGTTGCTAAGTCACCTGATCCTTTAAGTAGGGTCTATAGTGATTTAAGATGGGGCTTTAAGCATCCCATATGATTTAATACCCATACAGTAGGATGTAGGGTTTCATTCTTACAGGGTTCTAAGTACTATGGGGTTTTGGGGTTTAGGGTTCAGGATGAAAAGGTACAATGTAGGGCTGTAGGATTTCTATGATAGGAACTGCTCTCATCGTTCGGGCCAGTATCCCCCTGTGAGTACTTAGGAGCCTTTTGGGAATTAGAGTAGGGTTCCTTTGAGGCTACCGGTTGAGGCGTCATGTAAAAAGGCGGCCTGCCCCAGACGTATCCGCAGACCTGATTTGTGGTACCTTTTCTGTTTACCCTATGGGGTTCAGGGTTTAAGGCGTAGGGTTTAGGGTGCAGGGTTTAGGCTTTATAGGGTTTATAGGGTTTAGGTCTATTATCGGATCCTGGCCATGAAATAGGTTACCCAAGAACAAGCACACATGCCTAAGGAATTAGAGTTGGGTTTCTGTAAGGGTACTTTTTGAGGGTTCCTGCAAAAGAGTTACCATAAGGGTTCCAGGTCAAGGTACTATGAACCCTAAACCCTAAACCCCAAACCCTAAACCCTAAACCCTAGAGCCTAAACCCTAAACCCTCAACCCTAAACCCTAGACCCTTAACCCTAAACCCTAAACAGGCTTTTGCAACAACCGTCAGGATTCCATAAGCCCAGAGACTCCAATACCCCTTAGTTAAGGAATATACCTTAGATTATAGTAGGATCCCTAATAAGATTTAAGGTATATTCCTTAATTAAGGGGTATTGGAGTCTTTGGGGAATATACGATTTAGCGCTTTGGAATAAGGGTGCCGAGGGACATAATGGGGCTGTAACATACGCAGAAGAAGACAAGATTGAACATGCTTTTAGGTACATAAGGGGCCCTAGTAGTTTTCAGTACGGTGTTATAGGGTATGACATAGGGTGTTTTTGTAGTAGTTTCTAAATATATGCGCATTAAGGCTATAAGCGAACTTTTCTTAATTCTCAGACCCGTCAGAATCAGAACCCTGCCAAAAGAGTGTTGCTCGCTCAAGGAGCCGTTCACTCCAGCTCAGCTGTTTCTGTTGACGGCCGGCTTTCTCTTGAACTCGTCGCGAGGCGGGATCCCGACCTGGCCAGTGCTGCTCGGGACGGATTGGTCTGGGACGTCTTGTCCGCCACAGTGGCTGCAAGCTGTTTCCCGCACGACCGCTTCCGACACGCCCGACTAGCATTCCTTCGGCTGCACGTGCCTCGCCGCAATTTCCGCAATTCGATCCAGAACAACCCAAACTGCAAGGAACTTGCAGTGGAGGAGATTCCAGTGAGGCTGTGGCGAGGCAAATTGCGGCACTTTGGTGATCTACCATACTTACGAAGTCCTTTCAGACTCTACAGTCACTGGGTGCCGCCCAGTGGCCGCAGTTTCTGGGGTTGGTCCAGTCGGCGATGAATGCTACTCTTCAGAAACAAGAGTCGGAAATGCAATTGCTTCACCGAGTGCACCGGCTCGCCGCGTCCTTAGAGAAGGCAGACTTCAGCTGCATCACAAGAACAGGCATTGGCAAGCAAGCCACCGTGCTCGGCATGCGTGCCGGGCATCTTGTCCTTCGCACAGCAGAACTAGCGCTTCGAGTAGTAGGGGGGGGGGGCTTGCCATGTTAGAACTACTAAGTTACTAATATGGCTCAACACCACTCCGAAGGAGCCCTACATACACTTACCAACACCCTAAGCTAAACCCTACTTCATGTGCGAAGCGAGCAGCGTTCGGGTCTTGAAGACCCTACCTAAATCCTGAATCGCTTTTCGGTTACAAAAAGCATGAAACAAACAGCCTGCCTCAACAACAACAACAACAACAACAACGAGAAGCGTCAACCCCCAATCCTAGAAACCCCTCAGCCCACAAGGAAAAACAACAACTGGGTTCTGGAGTACGATGTTTGAATACTTTGTTGGTGACCTGTTCCTTAAAGAAATGATTATGAAATAGAGGTCTATACCCTTCTCTCGCTGGTTACTAAACCTTAAGCCCTAAACCTAAACCCTAAACGCTAAACCCTAAAACCCTAAACCGTAAAGCCCTAAACCTTAAAAACCCGAAACCCGAAAGGCTAAACCTTCGAGCCCTAAACCCTAAAGCCCTAAAGCCTAAACCCATGAAGCCCGAAGCCCTAAAGCCCTAAACCCCTATACGTTAAGCACCCTGAGCTGAGCTCCGGAGCCTGATCGTGCATCAGCGACACGAGGGGAGAGACCACCAGGGCCACGGGCCCGAAGCCTGACGGGTTTTAGGGTTTAGGGTTTA